TCAACCTCCTTTTGGAGAAATGGACGGAGTTTTTGGAGTGACACACACTTGTTTTGTCACAGTGAGGTTGGGAAGGCTCCGTGGAGAGTGAGAGCCAGCCCCCAGGTGAGTGGCTGGAAAGTTTACAGAGCAGATGTAAGAGTTTGTCTCTCCAAAGACAACTTTCTATTTCCTCTTTGTAATCAATCTTGAGCAGTCTGGGAAGATAGAGACAAAGCACAGTTGCATCCTGAGTGGATTTCTCAGTCTTGGCAACACTCACTGAGCTCTGGCCGTGGGGGTGCCTGGGCTCCGGCCCAGCAGCTACCTTTGTTGGGAAGGCCCCTCGCCTCTCAGCCACCCTCCTCCTTGCCCCAGCGTGTGTTTGTATTTCAGGCCTCTACATGGGTGCCCTATTCTCTCGTAATTCTTGACACCTCCTGTCTGGATTCGATCCTTCTGGTTGTTCTCAAAGCTCTTTGTGCTTCAACCAAATTTTAAGATGACCTCACTCTATTGTCATTATTCCTTTCCACCCATCTCCTCCATTAACTGTTCAGCTCCCTGCAGACAAATGCCAAGCTTTGTCCTCCCAGCCTCGGTGCTCTGCATAAACTTGGAATATAATTTGTGACTTGAACAAATTCACGTACCTTTATATAGAGCAGGGAACTAATATCATGTCAAAATTGAAGGTATGGTCTTTTGCTGCTTGCTGGCTATGTCCCTTGGAGTAAATTACTTAAACACCCTGAGGCATGATTTTATGCTCTGTAAAGTGGTAATAATAAGATACCTGCTTTACAGGTGCTACAGTTGGAATGTATCGCCCCCAAACTTCAGGTGTTGCCAATGTGATATTAGGAGGTGGAGCCTTTAAAAGGTGTTAGGACATCAGGGCTCTTTCCCCATGAATGGGATTAGGTGCCTTATAAAAGGGGCTTGACAGAGGGCAGTGGCTCTCTCTTGCCCTTCTGCTTTTCACTAGGCAGTAAGAAGCCCCTCACCAGATGCTGGCACCTTCATCTTGGACTTCCCAGCCTCCAGAACTGCGAGAAATAAATGTCTGTTGTTTATAAATTACCCAGTCTCAGGTATTTTGTTATGGCAGCACAAAATGGACTAAGATGATAGGGGAGCTTCAAGAATTTAATTAGATTTTATACATTAAAAAGCATGTAGCACTAAATTATCACATGTAGTATATGCTCAAATAATATTATCTGTGATAGCAATAATGGTAATTGTTCTTAATAACCATGGTGGTTACTGTATGACTATCATCTGCCCTTGTGTTTTGTGTTCCTGGAGTCAGATTTCTACTCTGTCAGGTAAAGACCCAAGGCAAAGAACCAGCTGCCGCTTCCCTCTGCCAGGTGCCGAGTCTCGCCCAGGATCCTCGTGCCCTCTGGCCACCTCATTACACTTGGGTATTCCTCTGCGGTTTTCCTCACACGTACCTCAGGAGGTATGATAGACCTGCCTAGAAATAGTTGCCTTTTGCCTTCAGGTTAATTATACTCTTCAGTACCTGGAAGTTTTAGCACAGAGGGGTGTCAAGGCCCTAATGTCCCATTAGAAGATTGTGCTGGTTTCCCTCATTATGTACTGTTCTCTGTGGTTTTTATTTTAGCCTGTTTGCCAGGGGGAAAAAAAAGTTGTGTGGTGCCAAGAATAAATATTCTGAGAGGTAGCTAGAGCACAGGGTCTTCCAAAGGTATAAAACAATGTGGTGATTCTTCTCTAGCGCCTGTGTGTTATGGTCTAATTCTCCTCCTGAAAAACAAGTTTGATGGGATCTCACCTGGAGGGTCCATGAGGTCTTGCCAATCCCCATGGAAAAGCTGATCCTAAGGCAAAGGTGCAGCTTTCCATAGAGTACAGTTTGGCCATGTGGGCAGACGATGGCCGGGCTAGAATGCAGTAGAGGTCTTCCTTTGTTGTCACCTAGAACCACACTTCATTCCTGTACCCCACCTTTCCACCAAGAACATGCTACCTCATTTGCTACCTTACAAGAGATTTTTCTGTTTGAACACAAGACCATATACTATTTGGTGTGCATATTTTTTTCGATATTGATCCCATTTTCTATGATGCAATAAACATTCATTGAATACCTATTATGTGTCAGACTCATTACTGAAAGCTTCGCATCTCTTATCTCATTTGATCCTAAATTACCACAAGACAGTTATCATTAGTTCCATTTTACAGATGAGGAAACTGAGGTTTAACAAAGGTAAATAACTTGTCAAAAAATATAGTCATTAAGTGGTAGAGAGGAGAACAGGTCCATTAATAGTGTCTAACTTCAAGGTGATGTTTAAGAACTTTACAAGAAGCTATTTTATTCGAGGGAAGGGTGATGGTCACATGTACATCGCAGAACATGACTCCTAGGGTGTGGGTCAGGGGGCCTGCCTACCTGGCAGTAAGCAGGATAGAACATGGATTTTGAATCAGAAGCTCAGTATCTAATCCTGGCTCTGCCATTAACATGGGAAAGTTATTAAATCTCCCCTGCCGTTGGGTTTCTTCATTTGTAAAATAAATAGTTTATCTAGTTCAGTGGTTTCCAAATATTGGCCTGTGATAAAGTTTTCGTCAGTCTGTGGTGAAATGAGAAAAATAAGGACAATGGACTTATTCATGTAGTTAAATTCATTTATTTTATGTATCTGTGAAAATGGCTTGCTTTTATGAACAATGGGGATCCCCACCAACTTTGAACATCCTCATATAGCAAAATTCAAATATGTTCTCTATAATGGAACCCTGATATTAAAATATGTATGCATTTTTACTGGTCTATAAATCCAAAGGTCTAGATTAGATTATGTAATCAGAAATGTCCTTTCTGGCTCCAAAACTCCAATCTCTTCTTAAATCACAAATAGTATTTAACTAACTCTAAAGTAGAAAAGAAGAAGAAGAAAAAAAAAACCTTTTATCCTTTTCTTTTTTAGCCCATCATTTCCTCAAATGTGACACACAAGCCCCTGGTAAGGTATTATAGCTGTTCTACTAGAAAGCGGATATTTTGTCAAATGAATTGGAGAAACAATGGGTTAAAAAAGTTGGACAGGTTTCTTTACTGAGCACTTGTAAAATGCTAACATCTATTGTAACTCCCCCCCAAAAAGACAAAGCAGCAAAGGCTCCCCAAGCTACTGACAAGAAGCAGCTGCCTTTTCTCTCTACCCCCACCCATTGTAGGATAGTGCACCCATGCCTAGAACACAGTTTGAGAAAGGTGACTTTAGCAAAAAGAAAGTTCCTCAATAGATTCCATAATAAAAAAATAGCATTAAAACCAAGGGGAGTTTACCATTTATTTTATATTTATAATTTAATGGGTTTTATTTTCAAATTACCAAAACTATGAATGTTTTTAAAATTTACAAAAGAAACCTGGATGAAAACACTTTAGATTAATGTGCAATGTACTAGACAAAAGTTTTGTAGCCATTTTTGATAACTATGTGGGGTTTTTCTTTTTGCCTTTACAAATACAGGAAAATTATGTCAAGAGGTTTGTATCCAGTGATTGCAACACGATAATTAAAACACTTGGAATTTGCAGAAGTTTGCAGTAACAAAATTAAGGCTATCATCTCTGCACAGTCAATGTAAAGTAAAATAAGGCCATCTGTAGGCACCGACCCTGAGAAAAAAACCCAGAATCTTCTCAAATGGTGTATCATAATTAAATATTTCATCAGTAGGAACAATTAATTCTGAATGTTTATGGCTCATAATTGATTTATTTTAATCTCAGATTTACTGTGATCAAACAACAAAATTCTTGGTAGAAGAAAAAAATCTAATAGTGGTGTTTTTATTTTTCTTTGCATAATTATTCAATCAGAGTTGAGAAAGTTTACTTAGTCTTTTTTATGGCTTTTCACATCGTGTGGAATATCAACTAGAAAAATGTCTCAGCCTTCACATTGTGAATTCAAGTTTCACTTTACCCACTGAGGAAAGAACAGTTTTTACTTGGGTCAAGATGATCCTAGAGCAAACTATTCAGAAAGAGGACCTAAGAATGACATTTTGGATGTTCTGACACTAACAACCTTTCTTTCAGACTCTAGGCAGACCAGGTTTTTGACAAGCATGTGGCTCAGCGCTACCTCCAGTATTTTCCATCATAACTGTACGGTAAATTCCAGCCTGTTTTTCATAATCCTGCTGACTACAGCAGTCTGCAACCATAAAAAGCCTTCACAGACCTAGAGTTGGCTTAGAAAAGTGCCTCTGCAAAGGAACAAAAGTACGTGCAACATTTATGTTCAAAGACGGAAGAGAGGGGCAAGAGCCTCTTGTTTGAGTTCCGATAAGCTCAAGGGTTTTTTTTGTTGTTGTTAGGGTCTAAATTTAGAAATTTTAATTTTCTTTTGATAACATTTGTAAACAAAATACCAACACTAAAATGAGAACAATTTAGCCAGGAAAAGGGGGAGTGTCTTGTCCAGCAGATCAAGCCCTCTTCCAAACTCCACTGGAGGGAAGCGTCTACGAACTAGCACAGGAGCGCACTTTGGGCTGACCTGCTTACACTCCCTCAGCCTCACGGTTAACAGGTATGTTTGAGGTTTACACCAAAAATTCAAGGCCTCAGAATTAGCTTCTTTTGAACCTTAAGCTAGTACTGGGAGGGTGATAAAAACACCAAACAACTCCTTTTAACAGACTACAATAACTATGTATATATTATGATTCAATATACAAAAACTATACTTTGAAACTATACCATTCAAGTTCCTGTGAACATCTGCTTAACTTACTAAGAAGTTGGTTGTCATCTTTGCAATCAAGAGCTGCAATTGAAAAGCAAGTAACAGAGAAGGGGAAATAAAAGTTTAAGCGACCCCTTCACACATTTGAACTTTGACTTTCTGTAGAATAACTCTATTCCCCCCAATATGGTAAAGCAGATCATATTTAATATCAACATTTAAAAACGAGTATATCTTACAATTATTTTTAAAACATAAAACATCAGGGCTACTTGCCTTTTGGCAATTTCTGTGCATTTCCCAGGACTAGTGCAATACTTCCACAGAGAAGTAGACACCCCAAGCTGGAGAGCATGTTGCATTTGCCACCTCGCACGGGGAGTGACACTGGTGGGTGCCTCGCAGCCCTGGAGCTGCATTTAAGTGGACTGTCTCCCGGTGACAGAGGCGGGCGCTGCACTTAGCTGTGCTGCGGGCTTACTCACAGGGGGTGGAGACAAGATGACATCACACCCTTTCCCACACACACCAAGGGGGGAAAAAGCACAACAGCAAAAACATATCATCACATTTCCCTCTGCTAGGTTGTAACTGTCTGTCTCTTCCCTTCCCTCTGTGATTTAAAAATTGAAATTATGGCCAATCTATATTTGTGAAAGAAAAAGCCTTTAGGCAATTTTGAAACATCTGATGAACTACTTTAAGGAATCCAGAAAAGACATACTTAAAACTATCAAAATGTTAAAAATATAAAATAAAACCTTATTAGGAAGGAAACTGTTTTTAATTATCCAGTTCTTTTAAATGGGAGTAAACCCAATTTTTTTAAATTGGAGGAAACAAACACATAAAAATATACTTCGAGCCATTCTGCAGTTCTAATATTATGAGATACATTTACGAGTAAGCCCTTGGCTACACAGCTATACGCTATGTATGATACATACATATATGTGTGTATGCACATATATGCACATTCAGAAATATACATACATCTATTCTATGGATGTGGATGTAGAAACACAGAGAGAACACTATTACTATTTGATCCATGGCTCTGGGCCAGGTTCTTTAACTACTTTATTGCATTTTAATCTCCACAGTGGTTGTGCGGGAAATATGGTGATATCCTCATTTTACCAGTGAGAAAAACCAGTGAGGGGCTCATACAGGTTAAATCTTCTGACTAAGCTGGTATATTCTAATAGTTAATAACCTGGATGAGCTTTGGAATAGAACCAACCAGGGTTTAAATTAGGATGCCACTTATTAGTGAGATGTCCTTGGACAAACTTCATCTATATGTTATCAATATTGACATTTAAGTACTTACCCCATGCCAGGCACTGATCTAATCAATTTACACATACTGAGACATTTGTTCCTCAGAACAATCAATGAGGCAGGCGTTGCTAGCATCCCCATTTTACAGATGGAGAAACTGGGCACAGAGAGGTAAAGTGAAGGCCCAAGGTCACATGGCTGGCATTTTAAGCAGGTCATCTAACCACAAGGCTTCCACTCTTAATTACTAAACTCTAAAGTAAAGATGAAAGTACCAATTTCACAAGTTTGCTAGCAGAAGTTTTAGAAATCACTTAACATAATACCTGAAATACAGGAAGCATTTACTAAATGACAGTTGCTACAAAAATAATGACAATAATAATAATGTCCCCAACTAAGTAGAACTATAATTCTAACCTGGGTGTATTCACCTCTAAAGTCCATATGTGTGACCCTCTTCCCCTATATCACGTTGCTCAAAATATATAGGCACATTGCTGGAATGGCTGTGTTAATAAAGTAGTTTAAATATTGTTTGTCTATTTATACCAACTCTTTGAAAATAGATTCTTTCATTGAGGTGCTGTAGCTGAACCAAAAACAGTAAAAGAGAAATGTAATAATGCTAGCCAAAAGAAATTCTAGTTAGAAAACTTACTAAAAGAAAAAAAATTGAAGAGACAGCCCCATCTTCCAAATAAAGCACGAGAAGTCACATTGTTAAAGTCATTTAGAGCCAGCTCCGTCTAAGCTCCCACCATAGGAATGCTCTGGCACTGGCTATGGGAGGGACTGGGTTATTTAACAGGTCTTTTTCATCTCTGATTTTTCACTTGAATAGGCAGCTCCCTCAACCTTAGCGAGGACATTTATCCAGCTGGCACTGCTGGTTCTGCTTCTACATGCCATTGCCATCACATTAAGCCAGTGAGGCCACTGTGTCAGTAGGAAATGACAGGTTTTCTGAGGGGAACAAACCCAGCAGAAATATCAAAAAGGAGGCTGGTTCTTCAAAACAGTATGAGGGGCTGGTGCAAAAGTTAGGTAATGGAATTCAGGAATCAGCCTGTGCTTGGCCAGCAAGAAAAATCCAATTTGCATTAACAATTGTTATTTGCAATTTGGAACTGACTGGAGGCTAATTAAATAAAGGCCAATCTCTGATTATTTTATCAGAAAAAGATGCTTGCATTACCTTAGCTAGTAGGACAAATGAGAGCACTCAGTGAAGTCGGTGAAAGTATTAGAGTTCTCTCCACACCAAGGAGGAGGAGTTATGGCCTAAAGAAAGGGACCATGTCTCTTTTGTTTGTCACTCTCCCTAGTACCTAGAATATAAGAATGCAATAAATATATGATGAATAAGTGTCAAATGAAACACAATTCATCAATTCCTCCAAATAGTCTAAAGGTTAGTTCTAGATTATGCCAGAGAATGCTTGAGTATGACCTAGAATAAATAGTTATTAAGAAACAATTCTCCAAGGGTCTCTGTGTTTCTGCACGTCTTATGTGCAAAGCTCTAATTCCCTGCACTCCAGACTATCTTTTAAAAAATATTTGTATAGCAAACAGCCCTGGAAGATAGAAGTTTATTTGCTCTCCCTTATAATAAAAGTAATGTCTCCCTCTGAGGCAAAGGGAATCCATGAATCTTTTATAATAGGAAGTGATCAAGTCCCCTAAATTTGTCATTCCTCTCCTATAATACAACCCATGGCATGGGCAGGTACCACCTGTACCTCTTTGTGTTGCGCTGTGAGAATTGGACCTCCTAGGACTGGTGCAAATGCTGATATTCAGGCTACTGCTATTGCTGTGAGTAATAAACCATCCTTTGTGTTTGACCCAGGAGTCTTGTGTCACCTGCCAATGTTCATTAACTATGCATGTTATCTTGCACATAGGGTAAAATCACAGACCTTTCACAGTTCTTGAAAATTGTATTATTCCACTGTAAAATACTTTATTACATCATGTTCTAATGCATTTGATATAATACCTATGTTGAGGTCCACTGTAAGAATCAGTCATGAAACCCTTTATTGTGCACAGGAAGAGTCTTGCTGGACATTGCTTATTAAATCATATAGTATCTGCGGGGAGTTAGCTATGCTCCCAGCAAAAAATTGGATCCCTTAGGTAGGGGTCGTCACAAAGGATAAGAAAATAATAGAAAATGGAAAATAACAGATATAAAAGAATACACAGAGTCGAAGGTATAGTTTTATAGATTTATAAAGATAAAAGGCAAAAGCAGGGTACTCAGGGATCCCTATGCTTTCCCAGTGAATCGTAAGGCCACGAGTGAAGTTTTACATGGGTATTTATAGGTACAGAGATCGGTTGCCAGGGGTAACAGATTTATAAAATAACAGGTAGTTCATTTTGGGTTAAACCTTTCAAAAGTCTTCTATAGATCCCTTAACTAATTCTGGTTACAAAAACTTTCAAGGACATACTTCTAAGTTCTAAGATAAAGCTATTACTTAACAGAAGGGTTAAACAGAGATATAGTGGCTCCATATTTCTTTATCTAGTTATTGCTATTGGAGACAGGTCATCAGAAGTCAAGCAGGAGCTGTCCCATGGGCTAATTGTTTTTAGCCACAGGTATCTGTCTCTGGGCGGACACTCTTTGATCAGCTCTCATCCAGTGATTCCATGTAGACCTTGCTTTGTCCTTCAAAGCAGGTGAGAATCATGGGGTTGAGACCACAGTGTCACCTTGGAAAGCAGCTACCGCTGACCTTTTGAGATGCCCTCCTGAGGTGGAGCAGCTTTTGATATGCAAACTAACATGTTCACATATTCTTTCAGGGCAGAGCCCTGTAAAACTTCTAAGACCATTTCTGTCTCTAATATAGTAATATTAATTTATGGAGCGACAGTATCTTCTTTAAAAAAAAAACAAAAAAAAAAACCTTGGAGAAAACCTCTGTTCTCTGTGCCAAGAAAAAGTTGTGACTTTTTTCTGAGCCTCCGTATTTATTTCGTGACATCATAACCAGGTTTCTATTTCTGTGTTGACTACTAGGAAACTAGAGCCAAATGCACCCTCCGCCCATGCTAAGTGTATAGGTCTTTGTGATGTGCATTTTTTGACATCATTCCTGGCTTTATTTTTCATACCCACCCTTATTTCTTGCTTATTTTACTTGGAGCCCTAATTTATGTGATTTTGTAAGTTGCCTTAATTTGTTTCTGGAACAAGGTGAGGTAAAACAAACAAACCCCCACACAGAAGTTGTGTCAAAAACATGTGTCAAAATCTGTGAAGTGGGAATCTGGGAATCTGTTCTCTGCTTTCCTTCTCTGCACAACAGTAGACCCTGATGGAATTTTGGTTCAGTGATTGTATGACATCATTTCTTTATATACATTTTCTCCTTGGGGAAGTGGGTGAAATCCATGCGATTAGAAGACATCTAGAACACTGCTGTAAGTAAGGATCATATTTTTTAGTTATTTCATATGTGACTTTTTAAGAGTTCAACATTAATTCCATTATTTCAAATGAGATTTCCATTAAAACTCATAAATCTCTCAAATCTCACAGAAGTAAATTCTGTGCAGTCATTTTACCTATCAGTTCACATTTTTCAATCTCTCATACATAAGAGTACTATGCTAAGATTTTTTTCTACAGGCTTATATGTATGCAATTAAAAATATTCAAAGGCATGCTGTGTTTTATAGGGGATGCTATTAATAATAAAATAATTTTTAATATAACTCATTAGAAATGAGAAACCCAGTGTTCCACATTTTCAGGCCAAATCTTGTTTCTATAGTTACTGTCCTGAACTAGAACCATGATCCAATTGGATAAGTATCCTTCTCCAATGGGGGTAATTTGGTCAGAGCATAAAGTTCTCTTCCACAATACTTTTCATATTAATAGCAGACGGAAGTACTGCTCCTTAAATGCCTGAAGTTTCCAGGTCATTCTTCAGTCTGTCTAAAGGCATCTTGACCTCTAGATTTTTTGGCTTTATAACCTTGAGATAATTAGCAATTTGTGCTTATAAAAGAGTAAAGAATTCTTTATACTAGTCTAGAAACAAGCTTCTTTATGACCTAAGCTGTAAAGTTTGCCTCCCTTGTTTTGTCTACATTCTGCTTTCTTCATTGAGGAGATGAGTACCTAGCTGAACTTGTACAGGT